AATCTTTTAGTTGCAAATTCCTGCCTAACAGAGGGTTGGACCTTCTGGTCCCTTCCAGCTCTAAGATTCCATGATTCCTAAGGCTGCATTCCCCAGTTATCCTCTTTTCTTGGATAACACAGGTATATCTGTCACAGGGATAGATTTGCCACCACCTTCCAAAACCAAGACTGTGGTCTCAGGTATGACAGAAAACACAATCACGCCATAAGTGTTGAAGTAATATTTAAATAACAGATCCATTAGCATCTTTATGCTGGTGAAGGGGCGCCATTTTGTCCTTTGCCTCAGGTGGCAAAATATTTTGGGCTGGTCCCCTGCATGTTGCCAAGAAATGACAAAACTGCATCTTCCCCCAAAATACTGTGCGGATGCAGGTGCATTCAGCGGCCTCTCTGTAAGTCTTCACAGACATGTACAAGTGGGGCAAAATTGCTGAGATCTACCCGGCTTCAATTACAGGAAGGTGGTGCAGTGGTTTGAGTGTTGGACTGTGACTCTGGAGACCAGGGTTCGATTCCCAACTCAGGCATGAAATCCACTGGATGACCTTGGGCAAGCCATATTCTCTTAGCCTTAGGGGAAGGCAATAGAAAACCTCCTCTGAACCAATCTTGTCAAGAAAACCCCATGATAGGGTCACCTTGGGCTCTCCATAAGTCGGAAACAACTTGAAGGCACACAACTCGCACACACACACAATGCACGAAGTGCAAAGCTGACAGGTATGTGCTTGTAAAGTGAAGCCTACAAAATAGATGGGGGAATAAAAGAGATCAGGAATTCAGGATCAGGAATCTGAGTCAGCTCAGCTTGGCAATGAGAAAAGAATGCTGTGGGCTGCTGTTTGCATGACATTCAATACTAATGGGGTGACAACAATTACAAGACAATGGCGAGGATGGTTCCCAGCTGTTGATCATAACAAAGAGGTGTGAATCCTCTGAGCTCTGCCCAGTAGCTGAAGTGAGCTCTATAGTCCAGCTGCTTTGCCCATGTTTCTCCTCAGCAAAATCAGGAAGGTGATGTTTTGCACTGGGATTAAAATAATAAACTTGTGTTAGTTTTTTTAAATGGAGAGATGCTGGCATGGCTTGAATTCTAATTGGATCCAATTGGACACTCCTCACAAGTGTCCAAGGCAGCCATGAGTGCTGGAGTCTGATCCAGTTTTGTTAAATGCATAGAGAGAGCAAGAGGAAAATCCAGAGAAGGGTTAGAAAGATGCCCCCTCTCCAGTGACCAGAGGTCCTCCTTTTGCAGGACATGTCCTACCTTTCAGCCTTCTCTCCAAGAGGCATTTCAAAATGCCTTCCATTTTGAGCATGATTCAGAAGCATGAATTTGTATTTCTATGAGTGTTTCGAGCTTTTCTTTGGGCAAGCCCTCCTTTTTTTCTGGACTGTCCTACATTTTGTGATGCCTTGTCTCCTTTGTGGTTAGGATATCGGATCACTCTGCCCCACTCTCTCATTTGCTCCTGAGAGTCACATGTGCATCCTCTCCTCACTTGGTTGGTGGATGAGGAGAATGCCAAAGCTTCAACCCATTTCACAGAAATAAACTGAGGATGGGGAGGGAGAGAGAAATACAAGAGAGTTTGCACCTTATTCCCATCCCACCATCTAAGCAGTGATTCTTGGGTCCCAACCAGACTGACCAGGTGCCCTCCTTTTCCAGGACATGTCCTACATTCCAATCTTCTGTCCAGGAGGAAGACTGTGATTTGTACTGTGTACTTGTATGGTGGTATTTTAATTTGGTTGTGAAAATGTGTTGTTGGAATGGTGTCATTGTAATTGTAACATTTATAATAAATTTATTTAAAAAACCTGAAAACAACAACACAATGTCCTCCATTTTGAGTATCACTGAGAAGCATGAATTGATATCTCTATGAGCGTTTTGAGCTTTCCTTTGGTCAGGTCCTCCATTTTTCCTAGAATGTCCTCCATTTTGTGGTGTCTTGTCCTCCTTTGCAGTTAGGACAGGGTGACCAAATGTCCTAACCTCAAAGGCCCCGCAAAATGTAGGACATTCCAGAAAAAAAATATAGGAGATGACCGCATAAAATCTGAAAACACTCATATCAATGCAAAGACATGCTTCTTAGTCCTGCTCCAAATGGAGGACGTTTTGGAATTCCTCCTGGACAAGCCTCAAATGGAGGACAGGCCCTGAAAAAGGAGGATGCCTAGTCACCCTGGACCAGGATGACCAGATGTCTTAAGGAGGGCAAGGCTCCGTGAAATGTAGGACAGTCCAGAAAAAAGGGAGGACATGACCCAAGAGAAGCTCAAAACACTCGTATAAACATAAAGTCATGCTTCTTTCGCGATACTCAAAACGGAGGACGTGATGGAATTCCTCCTGGACCGGAGACTGGGATGTAGGACAGGTCCTGGGGATGGAGGACGCCTAGGATGTCCTACCTGCACAGGAGGGCGAGGCGCCTCCAAAAATGTAGGACAGCCCAGGAAAAGAAAATGTAGGACAGGACCACATAAAAAGCTCTGGACACCCCTATCAATGCAAAATGTAAGCCCTAGCTCCAAAATAAAGGACTTTTTGAACTTCCTCCTGGACAGGAGCCTGAGATGTAGGGCAGGTCTTGGAAAAAGGAGGACACGTCTGTCTGCACCCCCCCCCCATTTTTTGGGTTAGGACCAGATCTGGTGCCCCTGATCCCAAAGATCAGACTTACAGGGCAGCCTCCTGCTGTGACCATGAGCTTCAGGAGGGTTGGACATCGCCTTCAGAGGATGATGGTCTTGGACCTGGAGGGTGGTCTTCCTCCTCTTTTCCCAAGGACCAGCCCCTCAGAGGCGATCAGCCCTCCTTCCTCCGCTGCATCTTCTGCCTCTGCTTCCCAGGGAGTGGTCCAGGAGAAAGGAGCCTTGCCTGCCTCTCTGCCTCCCTCTCTCTTCTGGCTCTGTCCAGGCAAAAAGCAGAGCGCACCAAGTCCTGGATCCGCGGGGGAGGAAAGGCTGTACCACTGCCAGGCTCCCGGGGGGGAGAAGGAGAAGGAAAAGAGAGGATCAACATTCAAAAATGCCTTTCCTAGATTAGAAAGCTGAGCCAAAGCTAGGGAAAAAAGAAAAAAAAAAGGATTTCAACAGGGAGAAATGTAAGGGACTGCACTTGGGCAGGAAAGACAAAACAAAAAAAATGACATGCCCCTGGCTTAACAAGACTATGCTGTGAAAGGGATCTAGGAGTCCTAGTAGACCGCCACTTGAACTTTGAGGCAACAGTGTGATGCGGCGGCTAAAAAGGGCCAAGGCGATTCTAGGCGGCGTCAACAGATAGTGTCGAGATCAGGCCTGCGCAACGTGGCAGTAGATAGGGGCCGAAACTGAAATAGGTGGAACGTCTTCGGGCCGCAGATAGGTTTAGATTAAATATTAATTAAATAGTAATATTAATGAATAGTAGTTATTCATAGAAATTATAATTAATTAATATTAATGCCCTCCTCCTCTGCTCAGCACTCTCGGGAGAAAGCTGTGCAGCAGAACAGCCTTGCTTGTCCTTCTCTTCCACCTGGACTTCTCCTCCGGAGAAAGCCGAGCAGCGGAGGAGCCTTGCAGGGTGGGTGTTTGCCCGTCCACCTCCTCCTCCTCCACTGCCTTCTCCTCAATAATAATAATAAATAATAATAAAATTTATTTATATCCTGCCCTTTGGAAATCCAATCAGGACAAGGAAATCCTCCTCAGGACAAGGCAGGATGGTGGAGGAGCCTCACAGGACAAATGTTAACCTGTCCTCCTCCTTCTCGGCATGCCCTCTCCTCAGGAGGAGGCTGAGTAGCAGAGGAGCCTTGAAGTTGTTCCACATTCATAGGGGCCACCCAAAAACCTTTGGCGGGCCGCATGCAACCTCCGGGCCGTATGTTGTGCAGGCCTGGTCTAGATCAAGAGAAGTAACGCTGCCACCCTATTCTGCTTTGGTCAGGCCTCACCTGGAATACTGTAGAATTCAAAGATACAGCCGTGTTAGTCTGTAGAATCGGTATGTAGAGAGATCTTGTAGCACCTTTGAGACTCAAAGGTGCTACAAAATCTCTCGACATACTGGAATACTGTGTCCAGTTTTTGAGCACTACAGTTCAAAAAGGATGTTGAGAAGCTGGAGTGTGTCCAGAGGAGGGCCACCAAAATGGTGAAGGGTCAGGAACCCATGCCCTATGAGGTACGACTTAGGGGCCTGGGCATGTTTAGCCTGGAGAAAAGACATTAAGAGGTGATATAATAGCCCTGTTTAAGTATTTTGAGGCATGTCATATTGAGGATGGAGCAAGCTTGTTTTCTGCTGCTCCAGAGAATAGGACTCGGAGCAATGGATGCAAGCTACAGGAAAAGAGATTCCACCTAAATGTTAGGAGGAACATCCCGACAGTAAGAGCTGTTCAACAGTGGAACACCCTCCCTAGAAGAGTGGTGGAATCTCCTTCTTTGGAGGTTTTAAAACAGAGGCTGGATGGCCAGCAGTTGGGGCTGATTTTATTGGGAGTTCCTGCATGGCAGGGGGTGGACTGGATGGCCCTTGGGGTCCTTCCAACTCTATGATTCTATGATTCTATAAGGGTGTGGACTGCACCAGGGTGACACCCTAAGGGGGTAATGGTGACACCACATCTCCTCAAACACCTATCTTTTGGCACAAACGGGCTGTGGCATTCATCTGCTTCCTTTTCAAATGCTTTGTGAGATGGTGGGAGTGGGGTGAAGCTCAGCAGAAGGGGAAAGGAGAGGCCCCGGATTTTTTTAAATTAAAATTTCAAATTTCAAAATATTTAATTTTTAATTTTTAATTTTTTTTGAAATGTTAAATTTTTTAGAATTCTTTTTACATTTTTTTTTAAAAAAATCACATTTTAAATTTAAAGTGGTAAATACATTGAGGTTGTGCACATTATATTGTAGTTTGAAGGGATAATTTTAATTTTAATTTTGCAAGTTGTTTATGTCACGACTATTCAATGGTATATGGGAATTACGATTTATAGGGAACATTAGTGCAAAAAAACATTGCACGATTCTGTATGGTGTGAAATGGGAGGAGGTGACACCATGAGTTACCACACTGGATGACACCAACCCTAGGGATGCCATTGACTGGACCAGGACACTGTAGAATATAGGATGCTCAAGGAAAAGAGAGGATTCTGATCCCAGAAAAGTTAAAAGCACCCATAGAAATAGAAATCCATGTCCAAGGAAAGGAGGAACTCTGGTCAGCCTAGCACCAGGTGACACCACCCTAAGTGTGCTCCCCAAACATCTGACTTTGGGCATATATGGGTTGTGGCACTTTCCTGCCTCCCTTTACAAGGCTGAAGAGATGGTGGGAGTGGGACAAGGCTCAGTGGGAAGAGAAAGGAGAGGCCCCAGATCTTTTTTTTTTAATTATTATTTTCTATTTTTTATTTTTGAATTTTGAATTAGATTTCTTTTATTTTTTATTTTTTTATTTTCTAATGGTTAATTTTTAATTTTTTAATATTTTAAAATTTCAAATTATCT